ATATTATATAACATTAAACAACAATTATGAAGATAAATTATTACTGCTACCACTCAAAACATAGATGCCTCACAAAGTATTTCCAAACACTTCATTCATTTCAAATTTCTCATCTCTTGAGAAGGGAATAAAAATCCAATAAAAAAAAAATCAAGAATACAAAAGTATTAATTACCATTTTAACATTTTAGAGATATCAGCATGGACTAATTACCTGCAAAGTTGATGTGTACTTGAAGAAATTATGAATCAGAGGCTTCATTTCAAAAATATCTTGTGGTATCCATGTATCACCCATCTTTGGGAAAGTATTAAATGCATGCGCCTGGCAATTGACATGCATGTAGAGTGATTATGTTTTATCCTCAACAAAGGCTCAATCATGGTTTTCTTAAATATGAAAGAAAAGAAACTACTGAATAAGAGAACATACAACATCATTTCCAGTTACAAATGCACCATAGACAGCAGTAAGACCAACAAGTACGCTAATAGGCAATGCAAGTCTCCTCACTTTAGCTGCATGAACCCATGTAGGCGATTCAGCTGGTGGTTGTGATTCAGGCAAATAAACAGAAATTACATTCCAAACGAGGCCACAAAAAATAGCAATCGCTGATGTGAGATGAGCTGCAACACGATAAGGGCTTACCCTTGGCTGGGAATATTCAGATGGTGGTTCCTAAAGGAGGAAAATCTTATTAGAATCTGGCAGTGCATGTCAATTTAACTACAAATAAACAGAGGAATTTATATTATTTATGTTCCAACCTCTAAACCACTTTTGACCCACCAACCAATGAGACCCTGCCCAGCACCCAGGGCAAAGAGAAAAGAGAGTCTCAATCCCAATCTCAAGGTAATATACCCCTTATGAAGAAAATATGAATAGGGCAAAGCAAACATAACTCCTAGTGCCCTTCCCCACATACGATATTCATATTCCTTCCGATATATGAATTTGAATTCTTCAATCTTCATGTCTCTATTAACACTGCAACAAAGGTGAAACTAACTGTCATCATAACATTCACAACAACAACTAAGTTCTTTCAGACCGGTGACAACCCATTTCCACATAATTAAGTCCTTCCCTTGTTTATTCTTGTAATAAATACACGATCAATACTAAATGATGCATATTGTAATTAGAACTTGAAAGGTAAACAAGCTCAAATTTCCAGAGAATAAATCAAAAAATTGATGGATCCAGTCTATTACTATTGATCATTATTGTCGTATTAACTATCTTCTTCATACTTTGAGACACACAATCATGTCTTTCTAGAAGTGATTAAGCTTAAAAGCGTATTTAATCAAGTTGATTTTATGATAAGTTTGAGGTTATTTGAGTCATTATTCCTTAATATTCAATCATCTAATTTTTATGATTGGATTTTAACCTTCAATTAGTCAGCCAACTTCAAGAGGCTTATTTACATTGTTAATTTCTTTTTTACCAGAAAATAAGCCCCTTGATGCATTTCATAAGTTAATGGAAAAGAAAAAAATGTAAAACAGCATATGCTCACTGAGGTGTTTGCAGTTTACCATTCCTCATCTGACAAAGGAGGAAGAGTACCAGTGAATTTCCAACCAGTCATTGAAAGACGCATGTATTCAGGTGACTGCTTATATTTGTCGAACTCTTGCAACCATTACTCATCTGAGGAAGGAGGAAGAGTACCAGTGAATTTCCAATCAGTCATTGAAAGACCAGATCGGGTGAGTCTAGTGAAACTCCCAACCGCCAGCATGCATATCACCCCTATGGAACAGCCAAAGAGCCATATACCAACCACTTCCTCGGCTCGAGAACCCCCATTCACAAGCAACTTCGACTCCTCCCCAGGAAACACCATCTTAAAAATGTTCCTCATGATTTGCACATGCTCACCCTAAAAGCATCATCACAACACAGATGACCCCATAGAGAAAAATTGAAATTTGAAGAAAACGCAGATAAGAAATGAAGGAGAAAACCTTGGGAAGAAGACGGGATGGGAAAGCATGAAAGTAATGGGTGGCGAGGGGAGGGGTGGGAAAAGTGAAAGATCTTTGGGTGGAAGGAGAGAAGGGTGTTCTTCCTCTTAGCTTGTGAACTCCGCATGCTTCATTGCTGCGTCTCAGAACCGACCACACTGTTCCCCTAGCGAACATCTCTCTCTATCTCCTGCAACTTTTAGGGTTTTGTCAAATCCTAATATGAAACTCCAAAGTTCAAAGCATCTCAAATACGGGTGTAAGCGGGTTTTAGAGAAAATAGTGAGAAGGAGAGAGAAAGAGAAATGGAAAAATGGGATTTGGTGGTGAGTTTGTTAAAGGAGAATCGTAACGGCCACATCCTTGTTTTGCATGGTACGTCCTTACACAACACACGTCTCCTCAGTCGTCCTTTTTTTATAATCAACATCAAACCCCAAAATAATATGAATTATATTTTCATAATTTTATAAGCTACTCTTTACTTTTCTAATTTTCTTTATTGTGGTAGAAAATTTTTCTATAATAAAATAATATAAACTAGCAAGGAAAACGGCACAACATGCCTGCACTGTATTTTTTTAAGCCACATGCCTACACTATATTAAAATAATAATTATTTTTATGATGAATTATTATAATTTCAAAATAAAATAAATGAGAAATTATGTAGGGAAAATTTTAAAAATCTGTAGAAAAAATAAGAGAGAAAATAATCTATATAAAATTAGAAAGTAAAAGTAGTTATTTACTTCTAGAAATAATTTATTTTATGCAATAGATTAAAATTGAATTCCTGAACATATTAATTAAGATAAACAAGTCATTATTGTTTATGTTAACTAATATTGATATAATTTTGATTCTTCAATTTCTAATTATATAAATTAAATATTTCAAATCTCCTAATTGTATAATCTTAGATTCATCTATTATGACATAATAATATGTTAATAACGTGACTTATTGTCCGATACTTATATTATTAAAGTGATACTTATTACATTTTTTCATTTTTAAGTATTAAAATAATAAATAATTATGATAGAATTAAACTATATCCACACATAGGTTGTCACACCATCATCTAAATCTATTTAAATATTATAAAAAAAGGTAAGGAAGTATAAGTGTAATTAAACCTTTTTCAATTAAAAAATGTATAATAATCGTCTGAACATTTTAAAAGCATAACATATTCATAGAGTTCAGAGGAAAAGCATTGTTGCAGCACTGTAGGGTCATGCCTTCTACTCCTAAGTGTTTTAGGAAAAAAAATTGTTATTGTTGCATTTGTCCTTATGTGTAAGCTCTTTCAACCAATACTCAATAATTATCTTAATTTATATTTTATATCTTTCGTCATTTCAAGATAATATTTTGCCTTTTATTTCACAAGTACTTGCCTTTTATTTCACAAGTAACCCATGAGTACAAAATATAAGGATTAAAGATTTAATACCTCTTAAGAAAAAAGAAATTATGAAACGAGTCAAATGACAATTAATTATCAATAGATATAAATGTCAATTCATAATTATACATTTATATAATATCATTATCAAATGACAATTGTTTTCATGTAATTTTAATTCGCTTAAATTTTAATTACATCACTTAAATGTGACATGTTAATGAAATACGAATTTTGCTTTATTATTATAGTGAGGGAGTATTATCAGTAACAAAAATAATAGATGAGATAATTAACAGACCAGTTGCATTATGATGAATTTTGAGGCTTCAAATGTAGAAACCAAATACAGAAGATTCCAACAGTGAAAATTGGATAAGGAGCTAAACGCCAAACTTAGCATGGAAAAAATAATAATTCAAAATAGAAAGTAACTGTTCTTTATGTAGGATATGACTGCTTAATTAAATTAATGTTGGCTTATGCCTATTATGCAATATATGGTGTTTATATGAAGAAGTTAGTTAAGAATTTTCCCTGTAATATTGTATTGAATATCGCATAATGTATAGAAAAGAGTGAGAGTAGATAATAATAGGTGGTTTTCATCATGATTTATGTTTTTTTTTAAATAGAAAATAAGAATGTTTTCTTGAACCAAGTAATTCCTTTTTTTACTTTTTATTTTATTTTTCTTGTCTAAAATAGATGTCTTTGTGGTATAACGAGTATTTTATTTTGTGAGATAAACAAGATAATTTTTTTAATATAATTAAATTTTATAAGAGTTAATCACCTATATATTGTCATAAAGTTTTTTTTATACCGATAGTCAATCAAAATCGTTAATAGTACTTTTTTATCTATTCATTTAATTAAATTAAAATAAAAAAATATTATTAACGACTCTGATTAATTATCAATATAAAATTTTTTTTACTGATGATTAACTCATTTTATAATACTAAATTACCGATAAGGTACGATGTCTTCTCAATTATATTCCAATTTCCCTTTCGACGCATTGGTGTGATTGTCATGTTATTGTGCACGGTGCACCCGTGTTCCATGCTTTCCATTTATTTTTTTTATTTTGTATGTTATTTCGTTTAAAATTATAAAAGGATATTCTTTGCCTGCGACGTTTTCTAAACGGAGTACACATTTGTATCAATTGGTACATGCAAATTTGATTCTTTTTTTGTCCTTTGGCATAAATATTTTAAGGATATTAATTATTATTTATTCTTATTTGTATTTAATGTAATAATCTGGCCTCTAACATATATGACTCAAAAACTAATAATCTCTCTTTTGCCTTTGTTAAGGTTCGCAGTTTCTTCCCCTTTCAGGATAAATAAATATATCTCGGATTCGGTGGATCATTGTTTTGATAAACATTTCAATGAAGATTTCTCCTGTAATAGTAAAGATTTTCTGCTTCTAACTATAAATCATGGAAAAATTTAATAATTCTTTACAAAAAAAAAGTGCTTAATTAAAAGAAACAAACAACAATAATTAATTCAGTTAACATGTGGTCTTAATAATTAGTTACATCTGACTCTGTTGCATTGGTATGAAGGGTGTCAAACTCTTTAAATAATGTGAGAACGAATGGTTCAATAGTGTGTTAAAATAAAAATATTATACAGGGATGAATGTTAAACTGAAAGAATAGCAGTAGCATGGGACCAAGAGCACTACATAACTATGTACAATGAAATCAAGAAGACAAAAACACCTAAATAGAATTACATTCATCGAAGTAAATCCTGCACAACTAATATTCAAATAACCTATTATGTCTAGTTTACAAGCTTAATTGTATTTGTGTTGCTGTCCTCTGAAGTTTGAAGATCTTCAGAATCCTGTCCAGACATTAAGAACTTCATGAAAGACTTCAGAAATCAGATCCCTGTCTGCACTTTGCAAGAAGCAAAAGAAATCATCCCTAATGTCAAATAGTTTACCAAATTTCACGAGATATTCCATACAACTACTCTTGAGCTTCGGCAATTGATACAGATAAGCACTTTGGAGCCTCTCAAGCACATTATTTGAATCAATATCTTCTAGCAGACTCTCATGACATGCCTCTCTCAAGTCATATATGTCATACTTGTCAGCAGCATGCAGTAGAGCAAGCCTATGCATGAGAAACTCTTCATCTTTGATGGTTCCATAGAGGTAACTTAGAAGTGCTTGGCATGCTTCCATTGACATGTCTGAGATGTTTATGGTGGAAAGATGATTCTCCTTAAGCTTATGTGAGAACATGCTGCGGAATACTGGTGAACGAGATGCAAGTACAGCTCGGTGAGCTCTTATGCTTTCGTCAGACTCGTTGGTATTGATTGTTATGTCTGTGAGAATGTCTTGGGTTAGCATAAGACCAAGAGAATTAAGAGCTTCTGCATTTGAGTTTTGCTGCAAAAATCTGCTAGGCCAGATAGAACAAGGTTCTCCACCCTGTATTGAAATGAAAGAAAGTAGCAGTAACATGAAGTTGGATATATTGTTACCACAATTCTAGTTGATGATAAGTAATTAATCATCAAGATTGAACAGAGTAGAGAGTAGAGGGGTGAATTGAGTGATGATTATAACAGCAGTGCATTAAAAACAATTATGAATCATGTTGATTGAATATATAGCAAGGAGCAAGTAATTAAGAGTAAGGATAGATGTATGTACGTTTGGAGTTGCAGTCTTCAAATCCAAGAACTCAACGTGAATAATGAATTTGGCAGGTAGGGGAGCCTCAAGTATCCAAACAAAGCCTTCGGTGTTGGCAAGTAGTTTGTCTTTTATTTCTGCATCATAGTGATTAATTTAGAAAGGGCATGCAAAAAATAAAGAAAAGAGAGAGAGAGGTTACCTGAACGGGCGAAAGGTTTGCGATCTGGAAGAGAGGTAAGCAAACGAAGGATGAAAGATGCGATGGGGGGATTGTGTCTGTATAGTTCGGGGTATAAGGAAACCCGGTTCTTCTCCACCGACAAATGCCTTGGATCATACATAAGAACAAGAATCAGTTACCTCGTATTGATTCATAAGCATAAGCATAAGCATGTAGAGTAATAGATATACCAATTCCACGTGGCTATCTTGAAGGGATCGGATTTGCGGTAGGTGGAAGAGGGTAAGTTGTGGATTGTCCATTGAGCAAGACGACATGTAGTTTCAACTTTGTATGTAGAATCGTTCATGTTCATGTTCATGTTCATGTTCATGTTCATGTTCACTCTCTGCAATCTGCACCACTACCACACGCAGCTTTCAACTCAAATATCTATGTTTTTTGCTATTTAATCCTGCAAACTATGCTATGCACAAAAGTTAGAGTTTATCTTAAGTTTTGTCTCGGCATTTAATTTTGTCCGATAATGTAATAAACTTTAATGATGATTGGGTCCCACGTTCCTAACTGATGCCCAAACATAATGGAAAGTGCAAATCCATCAAGAGACGACCGACTCATTAGATGCCTTCAAAATTATCTTCTCTTATAGATAAATATACTTTTCCTTAGGCTTAATTTTTTTTATTACTTTATTATTATAATTATGTGATTTTAATTTTTAATTTTTAATTAAATAATTTTAATCTCTTAAATATCATAATTATATAATTTTAGAATTTATAAAATATTATAATTATATAATTTTTAATTTATCTAATTTTAATAGATAAAAATTATATAATTATAATATTTGAATGAATAAAATTATATAATTATTATATTTAAGAGATTAAAATTATAGAATTAAAAATTAAAGGATGAAAATTACTTAAATAAAATTTAAGAGGCTAAAATTAACAGAGAAAAAGAGAGAGAAACGTAATTAACTCTTGTTGTTAATTTAGTAATTTAGTGACTTTGTTATCTGATTGGAGCGAAATGCACGTAAGTTAATTATATGGATTGATTGGTTGAGACAAATTAAGTCTAAAAAAGGAATTGTTTATATATGATTGGGGACGCCATACTCAGATGTGAGAGATACACGGGAATGATCCAAACCATCATGTTATTACTTTCAAACCTCTTCATTTTCAAAAAACAAAAAAAGAATGCAGCATATGCATGCAGTGATTTGACCCTCCTACCACTGCCTGCGAAAAAGGAAAATCTATATTTTTATGATTTGAAGCCAAGTATCCACTCCTTTCAAAATTTGACTAATTTGGTTTTCGGATTGTGCAAGCAATCATCTATAACATACTTTGTTTTCTCTCCCTTGCTCATCTATGTCTAGCAAATTAACACCTACTCACTCAAATCACCTTTCTATTTATTCCTTTTTTTAATTGAAAATGACACCCCCAGCAAATCCAGAAACTAACATCTCAATGAAAAATATAATTATCAGTTCTTATAATAACAAAAACAACATAAAGAAAAAGTGATAACTTGAAGAACAAAACGAAAGAAAGTTAAGTTTGTTCCTTCCCTCTTTGTGAAGAACTGTATTGGTGCTTTATCCACAGTTAATTTTTTTTTTTTTTTTTAAATTGAGCATTTCATAACTTGAAAATTATAACTAGATCGATAAACCCATATAATAAATAAATAAATGAACCCTAACCGTTCCAACTTCCAAATCGATTAAGAAAAGGAAATTAATTCCTTTTAGTAGTATTATATTTGGATACGGAAAGTGGGGCAAGACAAGACAAGTATGTTTGATTGACCAGAAAGGAAGGAATTTTCAGTTTCATTTCGTTTTTTCTTTCTCCATGAAAACTCTAGACCTACTAGTCTACACCTTTTTTTTTACTTCACAAAATTAATTCTTTTTTATTGTTATCATACAAATATATCAGAAAAAAGAAAACATGAAAAAGAAACAAACCCTAAACTACATTATTGATTTACTGCTTACTAAAATCCATGCTCTTAAAATCCTAGCTAGTCTGATAGTTTATTATTTATCCTTAAAGAGGAATTTTGTATTGGCTTCAACAAGTAAAAATGTTAGTGAAATAATCTATTTATTAAAAAATCTCGTATTCAATTTTTGCCATATTAATCTAGTAAGCAGAGGTTACTTGTAACAAGATTAGAAGAAAGAGTAAATAAAGATGCATTTTAATACAATAAATTTGTTTTTAATTTCTTTTATGAAAAGTGTTTGCATTTTCGTTTACGCAATGTTCGTTGTTATTTTTTTTTTTAATGTGTGGATATTTCATTAACAATAAGTCAATAACATGTTATATATATATATACTTATATATATATATGAGACCGATGCTAATCTTACTCCTAAAAAGCAAAAGAAAAGTGGCCGAGAGTCAGTCATACCCAAAAACGATCTTGTGCACGAAAGCCATCTGTGTGTGTAGGCAGAGAGTGCTTCAGAGGTTAATTCAAGTATGAGTTTTTCCGACCCTGAAGAGGTCCGTGATCTTTCTATTTATAGAGACATAATGAGTGGTTAATTCCGTACACGTATGCTCTTAACCCATAACTGCTACCCACTACATTTGCTACGTGGTTCAGAATAATAACTTCTTTAAACCGCTTTTTCCACGTGTTCTTATTCTCTCCTTTGATTTTGATAACCGCTTCTGGCTTAGCCATTTCCTTGTTCGACTTTTCCGAAGTGCGTTATGTTCGACCCTATCTTGAATGTTTCCATGTGAAGTCTTGTTTCCA